GTTCAATAGTTTTGAGTGTGTAATTCCACTGCTTAAAGGGATAGCTGAACAATTGAAAAGATTGTATGTCCTTACGGAGAATGTTTAAAGAATCTTTTCACAGTTTTCTTCCATACACAACAGTTCACAGTGCCCAAGTCTGTTAAGCTTAAAAAAAGGGCAAAAGGGCACCACATAAAAGTGGTCCATGTGACTCATGTACTGCATGTCAAGTCTTCTATATAAAGCCATATGATAACTCAAGAACTGCATCATTGAGTTGAACACAAGAATTGCATAATTTCCATTTGAAAATAAATCATTCTGATTGTTGATCCAGTTCACATATTGGGCCGGAAAAAAAAAGAGTTTTTTTGCATAGATGCACAGATCACTGAAAATATTGCCACCAAATGGTGTTTACAATCTATTTAAGCTTCTTCTTAAAAAAAAAACCCATCCCAGTCTGATTCATCAATGAATCATTCAGGCTTATTGATTTGTGACCTAAATCAACAGTTCAATAAAAAGAACCAATTCAAATAAATGAATCATTCATAAATCTGACTAATCCAGTTTGAGTTCAACTCATTGAGACGGGGTGTTGAAAGACAGCCAATATGATCTGTCATGTATTACAAAAAGCTGTGTGAAGATTCTTCAAAACTATATTCTTGTCATGACATGTGACAAATAGGGACTAAACTAAGAGTATTAACTTGTCACATTAATCAAGAAAGAAAGCTGGTGTGAAAGCAAATTCCTTCAAATGCAAGAGTGTAAGAGGTAATCCATTACTAATCAGTGTCATATAAACACTGAGTGGCTTTTCCAGACAATGATGATGTGTCAGCGCATCATACAGCTCTTTTGGTTTCAACATCAGCTGAACTAACAATCATGGACCAGAGGAGGTTGATATCATCAACTATGATCCATCCACACACAACCAAGAGTGGATCTCATCACAAACGAGACACGTCATGAATGTCTTATCACAGCTGATCCTGAATAACCAAACAGTGCTGTTATGAGGCATGAGGACATGGCTGTCCTGCTGCTGTCCATTGAAAAATGAATGGCTCCTGAGTCTGACTGTTCAGCCTAATGAAAGCCTTGTCTGCTGTGCCACACAGCTCTCCATGTGTCTAGATGGATGAATCTGCCCATTACTTCCTATCAGATACTCCATATCATTTACCCTAGGATCATTCAATGCCACATTGACTCATTAGCACACTGTAGCAGACAGAAGGATGAAAACGAAGCCATTTGTCTTTATGACATAAGATGCTGAGGAAAAGGCAAATTGCTGCAAACCAAGTTAAGCCACATTTTCCAAATCCCTGATATTTTTCCATTTATTTATTAATTTATTATTAACTTTATTTATTTACTTATTTTCCATTAAATATGACATTGTGTGATAGAATAATACAGTAATACTGACGTTTACACTTTTCAACTAAATTAGTTATTTGTAATAGGATGCATGATGCATTACATATGATATAATTTTAATTAATTTAATTTTTACTGATATTTACATTTTCAACTATTTTTTTGTGAGTAAAAGAATAGAATGTATTATTTGAATAAATTACTTTGTAAACATAACAGAATCACAAGTAAACAAAAGGTCAAAATAAATTTGCAACTATTCAGATCACAAATTAAATATAAATATTAAAGTCATGCATACTGAAACTATATTCGATTTTTTTTTTTTTACATAGGCTATATTTTGTTGTCCAATGATTAGTTCTTATTCAGACCAAAAATAGAAATGAAACTAAGGAAAAATCAGTCAGATCAGACGAATACAAACTATTTTATTTTTTTGCCTGCAAAAAGTCATTAAATGTCTGTTTACCGGTACTTTGTATGGTGAGATGAAGGGACAGAAACAACGAAAGAGAAAAGAACGAAGAAGAGAGACAGATCCAATAAAATCAATCTCACGCTACCTAGACAAATCTAGTCAGCATGATTGGATTCATTGCGATGCATGAGTGCACATGTGTATCTGTCTGTGTAACAAGTTAAATTCTAGTGCACGCACACACACACACACACACTCACACAAACTGCACATTTCTGCAAGGTCAAAATATTCCAGACCAGCGGGGTCCGCCCAGCCCCTTGTCAACTCGATGGCAGAATGCGGAGTAAACTGTCACTCACACACAAAGAGTCTAGCACATTGATTCACCTGGAACGGGCAGCTGTCTGTCTGTAAGCTTTGCTTAACATCAACCTGACAGCATCTGTCCAGCAAAAGCAAGGCCAACAACACCAGCCTTTACCAAACCCTGTACAGACACTAAACATGACATGACAAGCTTCTCCACAGCTATGCTTCTCGTCGGATAAACAGCGATGGTGCATTTTATTTCGTTGCAATTATAACCATCAACGGCAGTACACGTGTAGCATCTCACTATCCAACTGGCTCAGGATTCGCCAGCATTTATAAAGCAAACAACAAAAGGTCACTGGATAACATCCTACTCAAAAAGCAGATTCTCGTGATGGTACTGCAGGAAATCATTTCTACATGTCAGTGAAAATGCAGATAGATCTGCATTATCTGTAGCTGGGTATAAAATGCTGATGTAAAGACTACACTTTCATCCTTCTTCTTAAACTGATAAAGACAGGAACAGCTGAACATTAACTGTGCCAAAGCAGGCAACAGCTGTTATATTGAGCAGACGGACTGGTAAAACTTTCTCATGAATGTTTCTACTTAATTTACCAGAATCACACTTTATATACAGTAGTTGTTTCTGGTTGTAAAAGACGGTATAACTTGTGCAATGTCAGGGACTCTCCATGTAGTTTAACATTAAACTTGTAGGTCCTTGGAAACTGGAATCACACTTGTTTAAGGTATCTGAAATGTGTGAATCATGCAGGAATTAAAGTGTTTCAATTTGCCATTTCCTCTCATAATTGTGTATATCATTGAGGCATATCCACTTATATGTATAGTGAACAACAAGTCTTTCAATATTTGGACTACAAATGTGATTGACGAGAAAGCATTAAATATCATTTTGATTGCTGCATGCATTAACAGAACATGACAACCTGTGCAACATTATTATACCGCCTTTTGTCACCAACAAACCTGTCCATTTTAAAACAATGTCTTGAACTGCTTTCAGACCAAACGAAATATATTAAAATGTCTTTAATATTAATAAACTGTAAATTAACTGATGCATGGAACACTATAAGGGCTTACATTTCCCCACTTCTCTAGTGAAATTCATCATGCATGAGCAATTAAGAAAATGGAAAAAAAACAACAACAACAACAATACAATAGAATACATAAAACGTAAGCCATTAAGACAGACTGTTGAGGGAACACAAATGCTGCAGAGGCAAGGGCCATTTACGTGTACAGTAAGACTTCACCTGATTTATCAGTAAACTGTACTTAAGACTAGAAATAGGTTACACCAATTGGAAAAATTATGCTCATGCGTGATATATACAATTTCCCTTGCGGTAACATTCTACTTTGTCATAATGCACTTGTTTCAACAATATTATTATTATAATTACTACGAATAAAATAAGCAAAATGCATCGTGTGTTTTTATTGTTGTCCAGTGATTATTTCTATTAATAATCATTATAATAACAATAATAGTAATTAAAAACAAGTTTCAGATTTACAATAGTTATGGGGCACTTAAAACATTCAAATAATCTGAATAAACCATAGAAAAAACTATATTGTCAATCTCTACTAAAGACATGCAGTGTGATTCATTAAGCATCACACAAGTCATATACAGCACCTAATTTGGATGATTCATCAGAAGGCCTTTATAAACTTTACAAAAGATGTAACTTTGGCGACTTTTTTGAGAGAGAGAAGATGTCTACAGGAGTGATCACAGCCTAAGGACACTAATAGCTATAAAAGGTGCTAATAATATGTGATGAGATGACATTCAATCTACATGCACAAAACAATGGAATATGAAAACAATCAATGTTACTGTACAACTCGTTGACCTAAAGCACAGCCCCATGACATAAAGGGGAATCTACATCCTGCAGATATTTTAAGACTTCCTCATAATCCTCGGAGATGGTGGACGTTGAAACACTTAACATTTACAAAAAACGGACTGATTTCAGCAGTCACGCCAAAGAGATGCGTGTCTCCACTCCAGAACATAATCAATGAATTATTCAGCATGTATCAACGCATTCACCGCAATGACAAAACGAGTCTAATTTGGGAAGAGGCGACGGTAACAAAAACTAGCACACTCACGTGAAATTTGGACCGGATTTAGAGAAGAGTCAGCATGAATAACGGGAGAAAGCGTTTTTCATTGTCAATGTCCGATAAATAATCCGTTTTTAACGATTTTTATGAAAAACTGCAGTCCTTTTCTCCAAATGGGAGTCGGTAAGGAGGGGACAGTGAACAGAGATTGTGGGCGTGTGCGAATGCAAAAGATGTTCGCTTATTGGCTAACATTGGAATGGGAGGAGCTATAATAGCCAATAAGAGTTAGTATTCTGGAATATGTAATTATTTAAAATGCATACATGTGAAAAGGGGTGATTCACTGGTGGTGGTGGTGGGGCTTTTTAGTTCAACCCAGTGACTCGAATCTTTTGAATACGTTGTCTGAAAAAGATTTGTTTAGGTTCAAGACATTAACTGATTTGAACCACGTTAACGTTATGCCCGTATGTGTCGGTGTCTGTTTTTATTATCATTGAAAAACAAACGAATAAAATCAAATGTGAGCGTCTAATCTGCAGGGTGTCCAAAATCCAGAGACTTTAGCATTCGTTTCCCCACAAATGTCAAAGTAGATCATTTTTCAGTCCTGTAACTGCTTCACTTTTATCAAGCTATATAAAGACAACAATGCATTTTACCCCTGCTTATATGTATACGTAACGTTATAGCCTACAATAATGAATGGAAGTCATATTACAACTAATTAACTCCAAAGGGGAGGAAATATCTTGGTACACACCCGTCATAGAAGACATCTTTAAAAGGGAAAACATCTGGTGCTCATTTTTCCTTCTGTCCAGTTCTGCAGAAGAGTGCTTTATTAAAAGGTGCAATAATTCAGTTAATCCATGACCTTAGGTGATACGAGTGAAAGTACGGCAGTAGGGTGGGGATACGAGGCTACACACAGTGCAAGGGTTGGGCTTTGTTTACAGTGGGGTGGGGGTGGTAAGACCGTGTTCTTGGGCTTTCATTATGAAGGTGCTGGTTGTTGCTATGGAGACTGCATCCAGCCTAAGACAGCCAGATGGCAGAAGCAGACTGTCTCCCGTGCCACGTCAGCAAACGCAACATTAAGACAGACTGAACATTACACATTTGCCTATCACGTGCATCATATTGTGTGCTCTGCCAAAAATAAATAAATAAATAAATAAATTGTATCATTTTTATATAATTTAAAGTGAGACGAAAATGTGCATTCTTGATTTTGTATTGTACTTCCAACCAATCTATTACATAATGATTGATTATAATTCTGTTTCATATAATAATAATTTAGTACATGTGTTTGTCTGTTTCTTTGCTGAAATAGACCTATAATTTATGTCATTACATTTATAAACTGTTTATTATAATATATTTAAAGAAATTAAATGCAACCCTAAACAATTCATGGTAAGTGTTTGAAATAAACAGCATGTAAACATGCACTGTAAACAGCATGAAATCACACTTATTAGCCACAAAACCTGTCCAACACAATCTAATAATCCATGTTTAGGCTGAACTGGACTATAACCATACAGCATGTTGTGAAATTCAATCTGTACTTGACCCTTATTCTCAGTTCTGTGAGACTAATGAGGATGATTCACTCACACAATCACACAATCACCCAAACACTTCCCCTCCCCCAAATCTCCACCCGACAGGGTCTCAGGCTATCTAGAAAGCAATAAAGAGGACCTATTGGAAGACCATGACGTTATCTATTCACCCTAACTAAGCCTTCAATGTCTTTATCAAGGATAAGCCCCTTTAGCTTTTCTTGTTCCTCTTTACTCCAGAAGCTCAGTGGACAAAAACATGAAATACCATGTATGACTGCATATAGTAGCACAGGAGATGTTGTTGAGGTCAAGCGTAACTACTACGTAACACAAAACATGATAAATATATCTTGCCTGAAAACAGGACAAACAGCATCATATAAAAATGCACTCAAGCATCTTAGTGTGTGAGCAACTCCTAACTGGAACATGGTCTCCAAAGTTGCAATTTGCAATCGCATATTGAGAATCAAATGCAGAGGTTTTTTCTTGTGCTCCGGAACGACTCAAATAAAAGGCCTTCTTTCATTTCTGGAGCTCTGAAAACCACAAATTACATGAACTCTCTTCTCTATTCCCCATTTTCATCACGTAGGCGAGTACTTTGATCTGTATACTGGTCTGTCGTAGAAACCCTAAAATGACCATACAGAGACCACTTTCAGAAACATGGTTTACAGTAGTATGAGCTAAGGTGTTAGGTAAATATAATAATTAAAAATAATAAAAACATTAAATTATTCATCAGACAAGAATTTGTGATTTTATGTGGTTACTTGTATTTTGAATGGTCAGTATATAAACGAAGTGAATAATTACTTATAGTCAGAGTCATGCATAATTGTGCCTGGTTCATTTTTGGAACCATGGAAATGTAATGCCATATGTACTGCCTCCTTGTGTTACATAAAGAGCACTGCAGATAAAATATCTTATTTTCCACTGATCTCAACACTATATTTAAATTCATTGTGTTTTTTGGGAAATCCATAGCATGTGCGTTATTTATAGAGGGCGTGGAAATAAACGTCCATTCGCTGCTTTAACAAGCAAACATTGACAAAGCACCAAGCTTGTTTTTCATAAATGCAGCATGACACTCAGCACAAAAGTCTGAATAAATAGACGGCAATGTTTTTTTTTTAATATCACGGGTCCACACTGTCAGAATCAAGCTCTTTTGATTTGTCTTTTTCCCGCCAGCGCTTAAATAAAGACATAAAGCTGAAGCCCTCTTTAGCGGCTTTAAGTGATGTTTGGCTGTTTCTTTTGCCAGTACCAAATTGTAAGCTAGGCACCGTCTCTTCAGTCTTTGCTTCTGGCTCGGCTGATTGTGACTGTGAAAAGTTAACTGATTGTGTTTTTTCTAGAGAATTAAGAGGCTTTGCCTCTGAATCTTTAACAATCTTTGAAGAGATTTGTTGTGGGGTGAACATATTACAATCCACAGATTTCCCTTTTCCAATAACACCTATAGAGGGAGCCGGAGATGCATCTACTTTACATGGCACAAATAGGTCCTCTTGGCTGGTACTTTCACATTTGGCCTCAGGAAGTGCGATTGTGTGCCGGCGATTGATGATCTGGCTGTTCTGCAGCAGAGGGCTGGATTTAGAAGCGTTTTCTTCTATGGCCATGATCAGCAGCGATCTCCTGTCCTCTTGGAAGAACGTCTGTCTGGGAGACAGGATCGGCGACAGGGCCTCGGCGGATGAAATACTACTTCGACTGGACTGGTATTGTAAAACTTTACGTGACACCTCTCTCATATTCTGCACTTCTTTCTCGGTCTGGGCATCTTCCTCCTCCTGCTGCGTGGATACGGAGACTCGTTGATCTGGAGAGGAATTGGTACCGGCACTTTCCTGCACCGGGCTTGAGATTATGACCTCTGGGGGATTGGACATCTCTTCCTTATTAAAGCTCTCCTTGGTCAAGGAGGATTGCATGACACTTTTGATCCAGCTCTCCCTCTTAACCTCTTTGTTGTCAATGGGGTGTTTTTTCTTCAAGGGGGTCTCAGGCAGATTACCCAACGTGGGTGAACCGGTCCCAGCTCTACGGCGGGATTGCCGACTGTTGAACCTCTGTAGGATGGACTCCAGAGCATCTCCTTCCATGTCCTTGTCTCGTGATGAGCAGGTGGCGGTGGAGCGCCGCTTAACAGCATTCTGAGTGCGCTCTCGCAGTCTGCGCCTCACATCCAGCATGTCTCGCTCAAGGTTCTCCTATGACAGAGAAGTTATTAATGTGATTCATGAAGCTTTCTTTATTTTATCTGGTCATGGAGGATAAACAATAATTTTACAGATGTCTGTGACAATTGAATTCAATTGACAATATTTTTTTTTTAAATCATCTAAACAAAAAGTAAAGTTGGTTAACATTTATTAAATAGGTTAACAATATTTATTTAAATTCACATATATTATGTCTATTATTATCTCATTTGAAGAGGTTACATTTACAGATATGGTCAAATGTTTTTATATTATTTTATTATTTGTTTGCCAAAATGACAGAGACCCTGATTCTTATACTTGCACACATTGCTGTGGATGCAGCATAAAAACACTCCCATTCAAAAGTTTATACTTTTCAATACTTTTGAAAGAAGTATCTTATGCTCATAGAGGCTGCATTTATTTAATCAAAAAGGACAGCAAAACAGAAAAACTATCATATTGTTACAATTTAACTTTTAAAATGTCTGTTATTTCCGTGATGCAAAGCTGAATTTTCATTGTTACTTCAGTGTCAAATGATCCTTCAGAAATCATAAATCATGATTTGATTTATTATCATTACTATCAATGTTGAAAGCAGTTGTGCTGCTTAATATTTTGCGGGAAATTTGATAATTATTTTTAAAGATTACATACAGTAATCTTAACTGTCTCTTTCAACGTGGTCTCAGACTTTTGGACTCCACCGTGCATCATTTTAAACATGCTTTGCAGAAGTCGTATTGATTTCTTTAGGTGTAAAAAAAAAAAACTGGGCTCTTAGTGCACCTCAAATGTATGGTTAGACTTACCTGAACTGCTCGTTTGAACTTCTCACAGAAAGAGTAGAAAATGGAGCAACAATCCTCTAGTTTGAACTGAGTGGGGTCTTCACAGAAATAATCTGCTACCGAATCACTCACAGCAGAAAGGGTTTTGAAGGCTTTCTCGGTCTCATTTAACCTGGTTTCTGCATTCTAAAAAAAGAAGAAAGATAAATGGAAGGAGCTGCTGTTCTCTAAATTTATTATTTAACACATTAACATTGCATGCAATAAAGGAAATGCACTAATGTTAATGTGCATGTCAGCACTTCAGTTGTCAATAGGCTCAATAGCATGTTAGCACACCAAAAGACTTTGAAAAAAAAAATGCATGCTCACATTCAGAGATAAACTAAATAGGTTCAACTTTTAACTAAGGAATTGTGAGAAATATAAAATCCCTCACCAGCAGAAAATCCCTCATCTGTTCTTCCAGATCTGGATGTTTACCAGCATTCTGCTTCGACATCTGGACTTTACTCACTTCCTTTTGGAAATCAGACTCAATTTCCTGTTTATGAATCCTGTATTGAGGAAGACAGACATCTTTGCATTTTTACTTTGCTAAAGCAAGCTTGAGATTGTAACCTCAATAAAATAAGATAAAAGTGTCATAATATTTAAGAGGAAATTACTAGAGTACTGGAATCCAATATAACAATTTCGAGAATCACATATAACACATTTTTTTTGTTGTTAAAATCGGTAATGTTAACTAAAAGTATTAAAAAGTGTTTTCTTAATTGAAATAATTCTTAAATGAAAAATGAATTAGAAATGTTGCTTTAGCAACTTACCGTAGTAAGTTAAAATACTTAAATAAAATAAAAACAAATTAAAGCTAAACATAAATATTTAAAATAAACATAAAAATGAGAAAGACACAAAAAAATTACTACAACAAACTAAAAATTAAAAAGAAAACTGAAAATAGAAAAAAGCCAAATTCAAATGATTAATGAATAGCGCTACTAAAATATCACTGATTAAAATTCTGCATTTATTGTTGAAGTTTTAACAGATTTTTGTAGTGTGTGTGTGTGGGTGCATTTTATATTGAGCTACTATTAAATGAATCAGATAAAATAAAATAGTTATAGGGAAGTGCAATTTTTCAAACAGCGATGTGTGCCCTACCTTGCTGCATCTCCAATGTTCTGTAGTTTCTCTGGGAACTTCAGCAGAGAGGCATCTATCTTCTGGGCTTGCTGTGGTAACAGACACATGAGAAAAGAATTAACATGGAAATAAAGCTGAATGTCTTATTATGTGGCTCTGGCACCACAGTATAATCTCAAACATCATTGCTACCATCACAACATAGTGCATGAGGTTCATTCCAGGCTTGTTGGCTTTGGTATCCGCTAGTTTGAGAAGAGACGTTATCCGGAATCCCACCGCGCTGCCGGCGTACCCTCCCTGGTGGAAGTTGGAACAGAAGGATTAGGATCCCATGACAGTGTAAACACACAAATGTGCAGTGCTGTTTTGAGTTAAGCAACTTTAATCATTTTCAACAATCGTAACAAAATACAGTGGTA